AGAACAGCTGCTGCCACCTCCCCCTTAGTCTTCAGAGGGTCTACCCACACCGCACGCGTGTGGTCATCCACAATGGTCAAGAAGTAGCGGCTGCCCGAGAGAGTAGGGGCCCTCGTGGGGCCCACCTTGTCCATGTGCACAAGTGCAAGTGGAGCCTTGGCTGGTCCCGTTCTGCTACTGAAGGGAAACTTCGTGAACTTGGTCTCAAGGCATGTAGGGCAGCTCCCAATCTCCTTTGCTGCCCCCCTCACCTCCAACCCCTTCAAGCTCCCATCCTTCACTAAACTTCTGGAGCATAGGAATGTTGATGTGACACAACCTCTCGTGCCAACGTCTCCCAATCGGCAATCACCATTCCCAGATGAAGCCTTTTGCCCATGTAGCGGTTTGCATCCACCACCAGCAAGCACTCACATGTGGCTGCTGTGACTGCTGCACCTTCTTGACTGCATCCAGGGCCCCCACCAATTGGTGCCATCTCCTCTCCTCCCACAGTTGTTTTAGTCGTTGCAGCTGCCGCTGCCGTTGCTGGTGGTTTCCCCATTCCAAGGAATGATGGGCAGCTGCCAGAGGGTTTTGATGCAGCTGCTCTTCTCCTCCAAGTCCCATAGCAGCAAATTCCCAAGCTTTGCACGGCAGCTGGTTGGGGCCGAAAGTCACTTTGGCCTTGCTTTTCTGCAGCCGGCGCACAGAGAGGAGGTTAGCGGACAAACCTTCAACCAACAACACATTCTCCATTACCTTGGCATTCCCCACACCAATCACAGGGAGCAAAGCACCTGAAGCAGCAGCCTCAAACTTGATCTTCCCAGGGGGTTTCACCTCGTCAAGCAAATCTGCCCGTGGGGTCATGTGACTTGTACAACCTGAATCGATTACCCAGTGAGTGAGGGGATGCATCACAACCTTCCCAACTGAACCCACATCATCCCCACTCCCTTGCACATCCTCCGACCATGAGGAATATCCCCGGGTCGGCTTTACCTTGTGCACCATCTTCTTGTACACCTGAACCTTGCACAGCGCCACCTTGTGCACGTTCACCACTTTGGCGGCTTCATGCCTGGGGGTGCCGATCCCGTCAGGCCAGCTAAAACACTTGAACCCGGGTGTCTGCCTTTTTGCAGTACCAGCAAGCTCCCTCCATTCGGGTGCTCCCCTTGCCTCCAGAGCTCCCATGCCCCTCGTTGTAGTCACCTCGGCCTTTCCCTCCGCCAAAGCCTCTCCCACGGCCTCGGCCTCTCCCTCCCCCTCTTCCTCTGCTGCCTCCTGCAGCTCCATATCCCTCGGCAGTTTTGTTGGCAGCCCCACCTCCCGTGTGGCGCCTGCGGAAGCCCTCCTGCAAGATCTGCTGCCGTAGCCACTAAGGCGTCCACTTGTCCTGCTGAGCGTTGAGGGTGGGGATGAGGTTGTCCCATGAGTTGTCGAGCACCGAGATGATCTTGGTGCACTGCTGCATTTTCGACACCTTGCTGCCCGCCGCTGCCATCTCGCATACGTGTCCTTGATTTTGTCAAGGACCGGCTTCACATCGTCTCCCGATCGCATGGAGAGGGCAGCCAGCTCTTCTCCAATATAATCACCATCGGCAGCGTGTTGGGTTGAACCACGTCGCGTAGTAGCTTCGACGCCTTCGGTTCTGAGTCATCGAGCTCCACCAAATCCTTGATGTGCCGGGACATGTCGTTGTTGGACCGACTGGAGGATGAGGTTGTACTGCACCGCACTCTTCTCAATCCACCGATCGCGGGCATCTTCTTTCCCCGGCATCTTCTCCTCTCCCATTGCAATTTTCAGCAGCTTGTAGCGCTTGAAGGTGCTCCGCATCCGCCCGCTCCATTCCTCATATTTGGAGCCATCTAAAGCTTCAATCTTGGATGGTGGCGGCTCACTCCTCTTCTCAGCTGCATCTCCACTCCCTTCATTCATCTCCTCTGCTCCCAATCAGAGGTTTCAGCTCCGCCCTTTGCTGGTCACAATGTAGATCCACACAATCTTCACAAGTGTCGGCGCCAACGAAATTTCGGCAGAGTTTCCCTTTAGCAGAAGTCACATCCAACCTCCAGAACTCCACTTAGGCACGCCTACAGGCCATGGTGGGTCTAGGAGGGTCTTCACACTTCAGTAGACTTTCCACAAGGTCCTTGATCAGCTCTGATGCCACTTGTTAGGAACTAAGGACGGAGTCTATGAGATTAGGAGCCGAAATATCACAAAATTGCTGGTCTCAATTTCTGGACAGAATAGTCGCGCTCACAAGAAACGCCGTCGACAAAAAAACGCACTGTCAAATCTTCACCAATTTCGGATATGTTGTAGCTTCATTCCGTGGCTACAAGTCCCAAGTTGATTCGTACAAAAAAAGAAGTATTTTTTCGGAGTTATGAATTTCGGCGCACTAGGGGGTAAGCTGCCATAGAATCTTAACTCAATCACAATTGTCTCACAATTTCACACAAGAAAGTTGGAGTAGCAATTAACCAGATGGGAGGGAAGAGGAGGACGAGAGGGAAGGTCCCCAAGGAGTCCCCCAACCAATGAAACCCAATAAGCACACCAAATCCTTTCCTTATAAGAACCCCACTTTTACTTTTGTCACTTTCCAACCCATGCCATCCACCTTGCCCAACTTGGCCACACTTGCAAACCTGGTTTGGCTCCTCCCAACCACTTGGCACCATCTACACTGATGTTGACGAATTTCCCAACCCCCAAAAGTCTATACCTTTTATGGAGTCAACCTGACAACTTCCCATAGTCACCACAACCAATATCAAAAGCATACGAACTTCCAACGTTCGTAACTTTCTTGTTCGTGCTCCGATTGAAGCGATACTTGGTTCGTCGGAAAGCTCTTGAGCAGAGGAGTCATTTCAGATATCTGCTCAAGCCAAATAACATTCACACACACTCAGAAAAACCAAACCACATCAAACACAAATTCTTGCACACGCTCACACCACACATGCAACGCACGAACATGTGATGGGAGGCAGACAGACGTGAATGCAAGTGATAGCAACACATAACAGAGGAGAGACAGGAAAACACAACAAGTGGAGAGTGTCGAGGCTAAAGAATCAAGAGGAGGAGCTGCGATACACAAGACATACGCGGGTTGGGGGACATGAAAGGTGGTACAGACAAGCAGCACATGCACAGTCAGTAAGACGAGCACACACAGGCAGACATGGCCGCACATGCACAGTCCAGAGAAACACAAAGCACATGCGCATGCACATGCCCATGCAGATGCAGGGACCTGTAGAGGTCGGTGGCGGTGGTGGTGGTGTGCGTCCTGGTGTACGCGGGGGTCCACATAGCCCACCGTGCCTATCACCCCTCGTCGACCCCATGGCTGTGCTGTCGCCCCCTCGCACGAGCCCAAAGTCAGCCACCTTGGGCTGATGGGAGGGACAGGGGAAGGGGACGAAGGGAGAGGAGGACAGGAGAATGCCACAACGGTCATGTGTTCCACTGGCAGTCATGTGTTGAACTCACCTGCATGGCGCACTCACCTGCATGGCGCACTGACCTGCATGGCGCACTGACCTGCATGTGGGCATCGAGCATGATATTGGCGGGCTTGATGTCGCGATACACGATGCCGAACGAGTGCAGATACTCCACCCCGCGCACCGCCCCACCAGGATATCCAGCCTCTGCTGCAGGCTCAGCGGTGTGGGCGCGTCTGGGGGAAGGGCCGGACGGAGGGGGGGCACATGAGGAAAGGCAGTATCTGTAAGAGAGGCATTTAGGGACGCATTTAGAAGGCAATTCCGAGGCATAGCGGGAAGGCAAGAGAAAAGAGAAGTGCAAGACGAGGGTGCGCAGTGCAGTGCGGGGTCCATCACGCGGGTACACATGCATGAAGCAAGCCAGTCAGTGGAAGAAGCAACACTGATGCTACTGCCCTCAGTGGGACTGCTGTTGTACGCGCTGCACCTGGGCCCATCCAGCGCTCGAGGTCCCCGTTGGCCAACGAACTCGTAGAGCAGCACGTTCTCCACGCGCGTGTGCACGTCACCTCCCACTGCCAACCCCAGCAGGCGCACCAAATCGGGGTGGTGCTTCGTGGCCATCTGCGCCACCTGCACAACAGAGGGTTTCTAGTGGTCACGGCACTGCACCACAACCTCACTCACTGCACCGTGCTATTTCTGTACCATGTTGTATGCATTAGATTCATTCATTTTATTATCTTCTCATATACTTGATCATCATTCCTTAGTGCCACACTTGCAAAAAAAAAATTCACAATGATATTCATGCAGTTAGTCCCACTCTCTCATCTCTTCACATGCATAAAGACCCTCTCGCTCTGTCACCACTCACCACTACTCAATCACACACACACACACCTCTCTCTTGAAGTCACTGGTGATGACTTTAGCGTGCTTCACAGCCCACAGCGTGCCATCGAGGGGCCACCACCCCCTTGTACACGTCGCCGAAGCTGCCCGCACCCAGCAGGTTTGGCCGTGGCCCAATCGTTGGTGGCGGCGGGCGACCGTGTCGAGGGGGAACTTGCTGGAATGCCGCGGAGCCATTGGGCGTGCCACCACCCGTTCAGGTGCAGCTGCACAGGCGTTCAGGAGGGGGGGGGGTGAGGACGGGAGAGGGCATGACATGGTTGAGGGCATGCACATGGGTGAGGGCATGCACATGGGTGAGGGCATGCACCATCGGTGAGGGCATGCACATGGGTGAGGGCATGCACATGGGTGAGGGCAAATGCACAATGGGTGAGGGCATGCACATGGGAGAGGGCATGCACATGGGTGAGGGCATGCACATGGGTTGCACAGGGGTGAAGGAACGGAGGGCGGTGGGCGGAGCGGGAGGGAGGGATGGTTGGAGAGAGAGGGACTTGTTGTGCCATTCTAATCCACACTTGATATGACAGCGCAAGAGCGAGCGCATGACAGAGCGAGCGCATGCCAAGAGCAGCAGACAAGAGCAAGCGCATGACAAGAGCGAGCGCATGACAAGAGCGAGCGCTATGACAAGAGCGAGCGCATGACAAGAGCGAGCGCATGACAAGAGCGAGCGCATGCCAAGAGCGAGCGCATGATAAGAGCAAGCGCATGCCAAGAGCGAGCGCATGACAAGAGCGAGCGCATGACAAGAGCGAGCGCATGACAAGAGCGAGCGCATGACATGAGCGAGCGCATGACAAGAGCGAGCGCATGACAGAGAGCGAGCGCATGACAAGAGCGAGCGCATGACAAGAGCGAGCGCATGGACAAGATCGAGCGCATGACAAGAGCGAGCGCATGACAAGAGCGAGCGCATGCCAAGAGCGAGCGCATGACAAGAGCAAGCGCATGCCAAGAGCGAGCGCATGACAAGAGCGAGAAGGCGGAGCGCATGACAAGAGCGAGCGCATGCATGAGCGAGCTCATGACAAGAGCGAGCGCATGACAGGAGCGAGCACATAACATGAGCGAGCGCATGACAAGAGCGAGCGCATGCCAAGAGAAGAGAGAAACCTGTGGCTGCCTGGCCGCGGGCGGCAGCAAGTGAGGGTCCACCAAGCTGTGGCGAGAGGGAGCAGTAGCAGCTGCAGTGCCGCCGACACGATGCCACCGATGGCTGCTGCGGACAGGCCCGCCTGGCTTGCCTGGCCCACCTGGGCGGTTGATTGTGGCGCTGACGTCCGGTGGCAGCGGCGGGGCTGGATGTTACATGCACGGTACGGCACGGCATCAGACACACACAGGCATCATACTCACGGGCGCACACACGCATCCACACACTCGCTCACACTCATTGACACTTGTATGCACGCGCACACATACACACACATGCACGCACCGCACACAAGCGCAGAGATGCACGAACACATGCGCAGAGATGCACGACACATGCGCAGAGATGCACGCACACATGCGCAGAGAGTGCACCCACACATGCGCAGAGATGCATGCACACATGCGCAGAGATGCATGCACATTAATCTTGATTGAGCATGATGAAGCAGGTGTGCGTGCAGAGGATACACATGAGCACTGAATCAGGCATGGGTGGTGCCGCATAGCAACTGGTCACACTTTCACTTCGTATCGTATGCAGGGGCTGTTGAGGATCAAACAGGGGCAGTAGTTGGGACTCCCAACTGCTTCTCCATGCATGGGCAATCGCTGGCCTTGTAAAGCAATGGCAGGGACCGCCAACTAGCATTGATTGGCATACACCGGCATTGACATGCATGACCCACCTGGATGCAGTACCAGCATGTGGGGCGGGAATTGGAGCAGGTGGAGCAGAAGGAGGGGCTAGAGTGGCGGCAGAAGGAGGAGTTGGGTGACTGAGAGACCACACAGGCGGAGGCGTCAGCGGGGCACACCGAGTGAACGTGCCGGACACATGGCTGCTTGGTGAGCCACGTAGAGGGGGGGCAGTGGGAAGCAGGGGGTTGAGATAGCGTGGGAACGGCCAGGGAATGAGGTCGTGAAATGAGGTGAGTGAGAGGGTGGCTGCCACACGAAGGTGAGCACCCACAAAGAAGGTGAGTTGCTGCAGGCCGCCAAGACCAGCAGGCAGTGACTCGGCAAACTTGTTGTGACTCACGTCGCTGCATGGCAGGTGAGTCAATGAAGTTGACAACGATTGGTGGTGGTGGTGGTGGTGGTGGTGGTGGTGGTGGTGGTGGTGGTGGTGGTTGGTGCTGCTGCTGCTGCTGCTGCTGCTGATGATGATGATGATGATGATGATGATGATGATGATGATGATGATGATGATGATGATGATGATGATGATGATGATGACGATGGAAGCAGCAGCCAGGCAACAGAAGACTAGACACATGAGCAAAAACTCCAACCCCTGTCGATTTGACTCGAGCCTGTTCGAATTCGAATCGAGCAGGGTGGTTTTTTATGCCCAAAATTGTTCGGGTTCAGCCCAAAGTGTTCTACGCGAACACTTTGGGTTCTTAGAAAGAATCCAGCGCATCAAACTGTGACGCGCTGCTTCGATCTAAAAGGGGGCCCCCACGATTGAGCTCATTCTTGAGCCCAATCGCCCTTAGAGGTCTAAGGAGGACATTCCGCCAACTACCCGATCCCACGGTTTAAATTCCACATTTAGGCAGGAAATGTTAGTTTGAATTGAAGACGTGTTTGAGTTCGGGTCGTTGCTAATGTCAACGGAAGGCCAAATACGTAAATGGCGAGGAAGGGTATCCGTGCGATTCAGAAAGGCGGGTGGTTGTTGAGGATTGTGAATGACGTTGGGACAAAGAGGGCAACTCACAGGCCCTTGAGAGTGCCTACGCGTGTGATCCATACGGGCAGCGATCCACCCAGTCTGTTGTAGCCCACATCCCTGTGAGCCATGCACACACATGTGCAGACAGGGCAGGCACGCAAGCAGGCACGCCAGAGGTCAAGCAGGTAATAAAACAAGCATGCAAGCAAACAGGCACAATACGTACAGGGAAGGGGAGGTGAGCACCGATGCACCATCACCATGCGTGCACGCATGCATGGCATCCAGGAAAGCAGCAGGGCTGGTGCACCTTTTGACTCAAGTTGCGAGCGACTCGCACGCAACCGTGGTTGCTGCAGTGAGAGCAGAAGCGAGAGTAATATTGAGAGAGTGCAGTACGGCCCGGGCCGGGATATAGAATCGGACGCCCACGCACGGTGCACTAGTGACAAGAAGCACACACGGCTGCACTGGAGGTGAGCACAGAGACTTCAGACATGTGATGTGATGCTGGCCCATGCTGGCCCAATGCATGCTGGAAGACGATGCTGCATTGCTCTTCATTCCTCTGACTTCACTTGCTGCACCGCCAATGCACCATCGTCCCATCCCAAGCACCAATACACACAACGGCTTGCATTTCCGTGGCTCATGCTGTGCGATTGAGTCGATTCAAAGTTCCTCCTATCAAGCGCCCGCCCAAACGTGGCTGGTAGCTCCGCGCTCACAAGGATTGCAGGAGGAGAGGAGGCGGGAGAGCGTGCTTTAGATGGCGCCCGTCAAGGAGTTGTTGGCCAGGTTGCTTGCCTCGCCATGCATGGCACGGGGGATGTTGTGGCATTTGGGAACGTGGCATGGGAATGTGGCATGGAATGTGGCATGGGGAATGTCATCAGCAAACATTCGAACAACTCTTCAATTAGACTCGAACATGTTCGAACCGAACCGAACAGTTTGTCGTTTTTCCCAAATAGTTTGGGAGGAACACCCAAGGTGTTCGTCCCGAACACGTTCGAGTGTTCGATTGTTTACAAGCACAAAAACACTCGAACTCCTAGGTGTTTAGTTCGCAAAGTGTTTGTCAGGAACACTTAGGGTTTGAGACCAGCACGCCAGATTTTGAGGGGAGAGGGTCGAGAAGCAGTGGTGAGCAGAACAGGCGCCACCAGAGTTGGCGCTGAAGGGAGAGGGGTTCGACGAGGGGGATTAGGAGGAGAATGTTGCTGTGGCAGGAGGAGGGGGGGTTGGGGGAATTGTACGAGGACGTGATGGGCTCTCAGGTTTAGTTTTGCATGTCCTTGACTTGAACTTGCCATTTACATGTTGCCCATTGACTTATTCATCCACCATTTTTTATACCTTGAGTGCACAGCATTGTGATCTTCACTCTTGTCTTTCATTACATTGTGATATTGCTTGCGCGGCCTGGATTTTTTACCTGCCCTGAATGTGACTATACTGAAAGTACCCCCCAAGGCAAACTGTTCGAGTTCAAGTCAAACACCAGTGTTCGGCCTTGCCTCAAACTGCTCAACCCTATACTCGAACAGGGAACACTAACATTTAGGTAAACTGTTCGAGTCAAACATGTTCGCTTTTGCTCGTTGCTCATGTCTAGAATGTGGTATGGGGAATGTGGCATGAGAAGCATGAAAGTGCAGTATGGGGAATGTGGCACGGAGAAAGTGCCATGTGTTGGATGCACGTCATTCTGAGTGCATGTCATCCTAACGTCCTGCCGAGTGCTCGTGCTATTTTGTGCTTGCATGATTTGCCTGAGCATATGTCATTGTGCATGGCTGTTGGATTATACAATCTCTGTGTTATTCTCCAAGTCTAAATGTTTGATCATGCAGGAGAAATCCAGAGCTTTCCAACGATACCAAGATCGCCTTATTCCGACCAAGATCGCCCAAGTTACAAGATTTCCAAGACTTGGATTTCTTATTACATTTTGGGGTTATATCTAATTTGGGTGATTACTTGGGACATGACTATAAAGGAATCTTTGGTTGGGTGGTTAGGAAGGCAACTTTGACTTTTGGATTGGGGTGGCTGTGTTGGGTGCAAATTCACATTGCACGACATCCTGCCGTCTGTTTGTACGAGTATGCGTGTGCGAATGCATTTGCGTGTGAATGGTATGTTCGTGTGTTTGTTTGCTTTCGCAATTTTCGCTTGAAGCATTTGCAGGTACTCGCACAATGTGCGCTTCGGCATAACATTGTACGCGCTATGAACAGTACAAGCAGAAAGGACGAGCTCGCAAAGGAACCCAAGATGGAAGCTTTGTGGTTCGACTTACTTGATTGCGCAGATTCAGTTCTATCCAACTCGAAATTGTACTGTTTTGTTTGGTTGACTATAGTGTAGCAGGGCAGGCACTATAGGGGTACAATTTAGGTGAAGGTTGGATGTTGTTTGTCTGTATCTGCATGCTACAGGGCCAGGGGAAAACCAGCGGAACCAGCATTTGGCTGGTTGGGCAAAGACAAAACAGGTTCTGTTTTTAGGACCTGAACCTGGTTGTTGTTTTCCCAGGTTGGAAAAACAGAACCAGAGGTTGTTCACCAACCTACCACCTGCTATTTTGTCCAGCCAGGTTGGTTCTGTTGCTTGGAATTATTTGGGATCATCCCTGGTTGTTCCCAGGTTGATTCCCAAGGTCCTTGCTAGCTAGAGCTATTTATTCCTTCTCTGTTTGTACCTGAATATAGTGAAAATTGATTCAAGCGAATTCCTCTCCTTCCTGGAATTTTCGTTTCTACGCGGTGCGACGGCGGAATGCTACCCGAGTCAACGCTAGTACGCTAGCACTCCAACGCTAGGCTAACGCTGTCCGAGCCATAACTTCGTAATGGCAAAACTTTTCGCGAGGCAACTTGGCTTATTTTAAAGCTCTTAGAGTGAGCTTCGATATAGTAAATTCTCAGCTTAATCCGATCTACGGTCTGCACGATACGCTGCGCGACGTTCAAGGTACTCTTGCTGTTTTGACTAAGTCCCTCTTGATCCCTCTCTCTACAAACTCGGACCCGAGGATAGGGGCTGGTCTTGTACCAGGCACCCAAGGACCCTTGGAGGTGACCCCGAGGAGAGGTTTTAAGTGTGATAAAGTCTTAATAGCTTGAGTTTATTAGGCCCTTACACCAACAAGCTGGTATCAGAGCTGCGTTATAGTGATCCTCGATTATAGGTAGCTATGGCGGGCAACACCTCGGCGGTAGCTGGTGAATCTTCAGCCCAAGATCGTAGCGGCAGCCAATGATTCTGGTGTTTCTGCGCCAAGGGGAGCGCGAACAAGCCAGGGCTCGCTGATCAAGGAGGTGCTGAAAAACTTCACCGTCGAGAAGTTCAATGGTGAGGGCTATGATGATTGGGCCTAGAAAATGCAACTTTATTTCCGTCAGATCGGTTTGCTGAAACTAATTATTGGGGAGGAGCCTAGACCGAGTAACCCCGCCCTTTAGGAAGATTGGGACGAGCGCGCCTCGGCTGGCTACTACTTGATGTCGCAGAGTTTGGAGCTGAACCAGCGTCACCACGTCATGCACCTGCTGCCGGAAGTTGAGTGCGGTCCGAAGGCGTGGACGGTGTTGAAGGAGCTGCACGCCCCTACCTCCGTTGCTGCGACGCTCATGATGGAGAGGGAGCTGTCCGCGTTGCGCCTAAGCGAGGGAGAGCCGGTACAACCCATCCTGGACAAGATGCGTGATCTCTACGCGAAGCTGGCGATCGCGGGAATCACCTACCCGGAGCAGACCAAGTGCCTGAAGATGCTCTCGCTGCTGCCGGAATCGTGGCTTCAATTCACGAGCAGATTGAGCCTGCCGCAGAACCAGAGCTTGTGGACTATCGAGTGGGTGCGGACGAAGATTCTGGAGGAGGACTTCCGTCGCCGCCAACTGAGGGGTGGAGACGACGGCAGCAGCGGCTACGGGATGCAAGGGAGCCGACGTGGCAAAGGACGTGGCTTCGGTGGTGCTGGACGCGGTGCAAAGAAAGACGACGACTCCAACGACCAACA